TTATACCAACATGACAAAACTATCTCAAACTTACAAGACACAAAAAGAAAAAGCAAATTTGACTCTAATTATCTAAATATTGTTGGGCACATTTTTATTTCATAATGCAAAATATCTTATTTCTTATGAAAAAATATACAATTCTATTTTATAATGCAAAATAACTATTTCTCACAAAAAAATATACAAAGGTAAAATTCTTTATCCCATAAAGGTACTAATTATAATTGCTTGACTGAGAATTTGAGACAAGTCAGTATTTACCACCAAGAATAAGTATGAGATGAAAAAATATTGTAAGATATCAAAGTTATACCTAACAATAAAATGTAATATATCTTTAACAAAGCTGTGTAAACTAACATGAATATAAAAAAGAGGGTGTGGTATGATTGCCAATGAGACAACTCTTCACAAGAGACCAAATGACACAGAAATTAACAACTATAGGTCACCGTACGGCCTTCAACAATGAGCAAACCCCATACCGCATAGTCAGCTATAAAAAGGCCCCGAAATGACAAATGTAAAATGTTTATTTCAGCACTAAATACAACATCAATATAGAAAATGTCTAACAAGCTGATATTATGATTTAATGAAATTTTACTTTTTAGGAATCTATTGATTTAGTGACGTTTGTACGTAAATAAAATGTATTTAATTTTAATGATCAAGCCACTTTAAAGATATTTAAGAAATAATTCATGGAAGCCATAGATGTGTTGGAAATTTACACATGGCCTGGGCCGTGATATTCGAATTTTATCCTGAGCGTTAGCGAGGGATAAAATTAACGAATATAACGGCCCAGGCCATGTGTAAATTTCCAACATCTCTATGGCTTCCATGAATTATTTCGATTCTAATAGGACAAAAACGATCATTAAAAAACTGAAGCGAGGGTGGGTGTGCCGTGTGTGTTTAACTCTTTGAACTCTCAAACCAAATATTTGCCGTTTTGAATTTACATTTTTTCTTGTAAGCTACCGTCAAATTCACTGTTGACATTTTGTAACTAAGGAGCCGCCATGTTGACTTGTTAAAATCATTAAATTTGAGAATAATGCAATAGAATAGAAAAAAAACCCAACACATACCTCAAAACTTCATTTTAATGCAATATTATCCAAATTTGGAGGGTTAGCGCAACGGAAAACCTTCAGCTTTGGCTTTTATATTCGTATGACGTCATGTTTTAAAATTACGTTAATGCGCCAAAAACATAAATAAAATTTCGCGGAATTTTATTTTATTTTTATTTTGCACATTTTTCCGAGCTCTAATGCATTAATTCTTTTTGGTATACCTCAGAATAAGAATAAAAATTCTGTAGGGTTTTTTAAATTGCAATATTTTTAACACAGCGAAATCGGCATGGCGTTTGCACATGGGTTACGATACATGTGGATTTACGTGGGAGGTATATTTTAATAGCTATTATTATGTACATCTCTGAGTCTGCGCTAAGTATAGATATATCGAGAATTTTATCACGATGTTGTTTACAAAGCGAAAGAAGCACGTCATATTAGAATTTTTAATTTTGTTGCCTATATGGTTCTGCAAAGAGTCAGCAAATTGATTTGTTTTTCAATCAGCAAACATTATTTTTAAATGCTGCTAATATGCTAATATGCAGAGCAAGTATTTATAGGATAATATTTGCAAATCAATGTGAATTGCTTTGCTTGGTAAGTTGAAAATAGTCAACAAACGATGTTCATTTCAAGCCTAAATCTCTCCAAAAAAGTTCATAATAAAACATTCTCAGCAAAGTGTGAAACTCAGCTCAAAAGGTTGTTCGCAATTAATGTTTGATATTTCATAACATACTCTTTATGTTGAAATTCTCTGGAAATCAATACCTTTAGTCAAAGTTGGCCTTAGATGGATTTGGAAATTTTTTTAGGTCCTTTTCGATTTATAGCTTTTCAACGTTTTCGGTCCTTATACATCTTTGGCTTTCAAATATTCGGATTTGAGCGTTCCTTATGAAGGTAAATCCAGAAAAGCGCTTCGGAAGGATGAAATTTATAACGTGTTCTTTTCATTTTTTTTTTTTTTTACCATAAAACATTCAGTTCATATTTCCCGCATTATGTATTTTTAAAAGTGAATAAATGGAAAGTGGGGAATACGTTAATCAGACATTAGTGTAAAGATACAAAACAACTAAAAGACATTTATCTATACTTCAAATGCCCAAGTGGCCTCACGTTTTTATTTTAAATCATGCGAAAAATAAATATATTTCATATAGGAATTCCGGCATGTCCCAAAATATTGTAATAAAATCATTACTCAATACACTATGTTCTGCCTATAATAAAATGTCTCACTGAAGATTTTTCGAAAACCGTCTCAACCTTCAATAAAATGATGAACAGAGTTACTGTCCAATAGCTAATGAGTGGCAATTATTTCAAGCAGATTAAATTGGTAATTAAATTATATAAGTTGTAACAATCAATGCCTTCTTTGTCTTGAAAATTTCTTATTTTCAGGCAATAAATTATGAGTCAGAATAAAAGCAAAAATTTGATATGAAGTCTTAATAAAAATGAATTCACAATCACACAACGTAGGTGAAAATATGATAATTACAAATTTTCTTTACCTGCAAGGAATGGTGTTGAAATTAAGAATGAAAACTTTATTCACAACTTTAATCTTCAGAATATAAATGTTGAACTTCAAATTAAAAAAAAAGTTTTTGATCTTTCAGATTTTTTATTGAAATTTGATAAGTCCAAAAAGATATATTTGACTAAATATTTTTTTATTTTACTAGCACTACTACAGTTATATCCCCATTGTAAAGATTGGATAATTTATTCTTACATTTTTTTGACTAAATGTAAAGGAACACAGTATGATTAGTTTGTGTATACAACTACAATTTGGTTAAAGAGAGAAAAACAAAGTATTTGTACAGAATAGTTTTAACATTTTTCAGCTGAATTGTAACATGTTTTCAAAAGCTCCTTTAATTACATGTGTGCTTTTTCAAGGTTTATCATTGTTTGACTAAGTTTTAGTTACAGAGAAGTAATATTAAATGACAAGATCAATAAAAATGATCCAACAAAAATAAATTCGTAATTAATATAAAGGGCAAATCCAGTACTTTAACTCAGTGTTATCACAAAAGAGACTGTTGTTCTCATTTATAAATTAAAGGAAAATCTTGTTATCCATATCAATGATTAAAAAGCGTATGTTTTTCATATCAATATGTCATTTGCATTTGCAAGTTAAGAAAAATCCTTTTCCTTAAAAAATTAAATCAGTAACTGAATTTTCCATTATAATTTACAATACTACATAATGTAAGTTATCTTTCCATGAATTGTACCAACAGAAAAGAAATAAGTATGGAATAAGTCTTGATACCATGTCTTTTGTTTTTCTTACACTCAAATTTATTTGATAATTTCAGTGCATGTGAAATTTTGAAAATCAAAAAAGGAATTGTCTTGCCTAAATAAATTGAAATAAAACTTATGTATGAAGGGGAAAATATGTAACTTCATACAACTTCGTTAACTCTTGACAGGCAAGAACTTTGTGTGCCATGTATATAAACTGAAAATCTAAACCTTTAATTCTACTGCTATTAAAACAAAGCTTTTCTAGTAAAATATTACTTTTACCATATATCACCCATGAAGACACCAATATTATAAATAAATAAGTCATAAGTCTCAATATTCTGCTCTTAATAAATTACTAGATTTCTGTCATTGAGGGTCATGATGGCTATGATAGAAACCGGTCTTTTATATACATGTATATGTAAAATGTTCTTCGTTTATATGAAATCCGATGTTAATCCACGACATATATAAGACGCTTAAACACTGCTGTCAGGCTAATATGTGCATTGGAGATTGAAATGCAATTTGCCTATACCAAGCATCTGCTTATCTCTTTTTGATACATAGATCCATATCTACATCCTCATCTTCTTTTTTCTCTGGTCTTTTTGGTTCTTGATAACCATCTGGAGGTGCAAAATCAACCTGTAAAGACATTGGAACAACAAATTTATGATGTAATAAACACCAATAGTTGAGTTTTGTTATAGACATGTATATATCAAGTGTATATTATTTTCCTGTGTTATTTTAACGGTATTCATCTTCCATTTTCTTTTACATACTGCATGTTGTGATCAATTATCTATATACTGTTTTCCAAATTTTGCTTTCTTAATGATTGTATCTTGTTTGTGCATTGTATTTTCACTGTGAATTTCAACAAGGCAAACAATTTATGCATGAAAACAAGGAAAATAATAACTACGAGTGTTGCATAAAATAACCCTTTACCATCCTGTTTGACTCTAACAACTGTTGAATTTTTACAGCACATTAAATTTCTGTCATTTTTCAATTTCAAAGCAAGTTTATTGTTTAAAATAAGTTTGAAACTGACTCTCAAGAGTAAATGATTGATAGAACATCAAAAGTAAAGCTACTTTTTATTTTGTAACGTTTTGATCATGAAAATATCTTATTCCCCATTTGGAACAGTCTAGGATTAGGTCAATTTTTTGGCACATTGAAACAAAATCTTGCTTAATACTATTGCTACAAATGCCATCAAGCATTCTATGATAGGGGTTAAAATTGTGTAGTTTACTTTCTTATTATGTAAGCTCCCAGGTTTTGCAGTTAGACTACAATCCACTTAAAACCAAGACTAAGAAATAATTGTCTAAATGCCACTGTATTGACCATAACATTGAACTTAGATTTTGTGTTTATTTTTATTTTTTGAGTTGCTGACAACACTTCGTCCTACTTTCTGTTCTGATTGTTGTCTATCCCAATTCTCGTTCTATTTACATTGACAATGTTTTATGTTGTAGCAAATAAAATTGGTTGTGAAGACCAGTAATAATTAATTTAAACAGTAAACAAAAATTGAAACCGTCGAATCTAAATATGTTTACCGTATCTGGGCATTTAATGTAGTTGATTAGGTTAACTTACATCCAAATCACATTCTGTAACAGATATAGCATCATCAGGTTTGGTTTCAAGTACACATAGTTTATACTCCTGGAATAAAACAGAACTTTAATCATCTGGGCTCGGTTGTTCAAAAGTGTCATTAGGCTAACGATGTCGTTAAAGTGTCGTTAGCCAGTCGTTAAATTTAACGTAATCGTTAAGTGTTGTTCAAAATGTTTAACACTTAACGCAGTCGTTGAATCTGTGTTAAACCTAATCACTTTATATACCTCGATGAAATCCCTAACGCAGTGTTAAAGATGACCGCCTTAGCTCACACGAATGTAGCAGTTCAACGCAAAGAAAGAACATTTATAAATAAAGAAGAACTTTCATTCAACTACACTGACACAGAACTAAGAGCATTTTGGAGGGAAGACATTTTATACTTATCCAATCTAGTCAGGGACAAGTTATCTCGTCAGACAAACAAGAATCATGCTCTCAGTGTAGAGCAACAGATTATGGTCACATTGTGATTTTTGCCAGTGGAAGTTTCCTCCAAGTTAAAGGTGACAAATTTGGTAAGACTATTTACTTTTAAATGCCTTAATTGTTTACATATGTTTTCTCATGTTTTGTTTCAATTTGAAAACTTTTAGCAAAATCTAAGTGCCAATTCATAGTATATATATGCATTTATGCATATATATTTTCATGTTACAAAGTAACTGGCCAGTAATTATCATGCAATAGTTGTGCATCTCTACCTTGTATGTTTGGACGAAAGCACAGTGCCAAGAGTGGTAGATTCTGTTTATACGCCCTTTGTGAAAAGAGGAACGAGTTCATTCAGTGGCACACTAACTAAACCAAACCAAAGCTGAATTTTACGAGATTGCAGGGTTTCCAAACATCTTGGGTGCTATTGATGGGACACATATCAGAAACGATACCGCATCATCACGAAGCCTCATTTATCAACAGAAAAAGCTACCCAAGCTTGAATGTTCAAGCAGTATGTGATGCAAAGTGTAATGTTCTTCTGTTTTCATCTTCACATTTGAACTGTCACATTGTAAACAAATTTGCTGTTCCCCCTGAATTAAAAATAAATTTTAGGAACCAGTTTCTCTATAATCTGTTCCATATAACGAAGTCTTTTAAATTAACTCTGCCCTGGGAAATACTAAAAATTTTACTCTTCCCACCCTACATAAAGAATTCCATCGTTATTAAAAAAATATTTTCCAGCTCAAACAATGTGTTTATTTATTTTGTTTTACAGGAAAAATTGTATAACTTTTTCATTAGATATAATTCCCCCCCCCCTTTCAATTTTGTAATATACACAAATCAAACTATTTACACACATACACAAAAAACAGAATTGCTAGCTGAAGCTGTACTTGGGTATAATATAAAAAAAGAGAAGAGATAGGAATAGTGTTTAATGTCTTAAATTAAACATGTTGACAGGAAAAATTATTTAAATAAATTAAATTTAAGAGGATATATATGATCATATATTACTATTTCCAGCAAATATATATGTATAGTATTATACATATCTCTGTTTCAAGGGATAACCTTTGTGCTGAATAGGATATAGATTAGCATCACGAAAGAAAGACTCTGGATTAATTAGACTTATGTTTTATAATCCTTGGCCCCTCCCTTTTAAGAAATGTCTTTTATTGGTTACAAGTTTATGATAATTAGTAAAAATTGTAAGCTTTACAAATATTAACTGAAATTGCTACTATAGCTGTGTTTTGTCTATAGCTATGTTTTAATTGAAAATAACTTTTTCTTTACTTTGTTTTTCAGGAAGATTTAAAAACATAAATGCAAACTGGACAGGTTGTTGTTATGATTTCCATGTTTTCCGAACATCACAGGTGAGTGTAAATGGTCAATAAATAATTTTTAATCAGCTTCATTAGTCCAGAATAGTAAACAGATCATATTTTTAAATAATATTGAGAACACTTAAGTGTGAATCTATTAGTCCCAGGTGGTATATATATTTCTGTTTTATGTTGACAAGCTAGGGGTAGGTGCAAAATATTTTTACTTTTCTCAAAGAGGTCCAATGTTTTTGGTTCATATCATCCATCAAAAAGAATGAACCCCCAACCTATAGTTTATGTTAAATAAATAAATGGAGATGTGGTATGATTGCCAATGAGATATTTATTTAGCAATACCAATTAAATTAATAAACATGTATATTCTTTACTATAAATATAATTCCTCATGCAGGTTTGTGCTCACGTGGAGAGAAATGGCAATTGGGAAAATGGTATCTTACTTGGCGATAGTGGCTATCCGTGCATGTCTTTTTTATGACACTTTTTCTGAATCCTATTGAACAACACCATAGAAGGTACAACAGATGTCAGCCGGCCACAAGATATGTTATAGAAAGGACATTTGGCAGATGGAAGAGAAGGTTCCACATATTGCATTCTGAAGTAAGTGATTATTTAGATGGGTTTTTTTTCTTCAAAATTGGGAATCGTAATATTTTTTTCAGGAAATTACCATCCCCCCCTCCACCCCCCCCCCCCCTTAATATTTAATAGTTGTTCCCTTCTTTGATATGTGAATAATTTAAATATTAGAAGTACATTTGCACCTGAGATGTGTCTTAGTATATATTATTGTCCGTTACAACAAGAACTATTCCTGTCATCTAATTTTTTTTATATGTAAACTTAATATTACAAAACTTATACATTTTTTAGGCTGTTTGCAACAGCTAGCACAAATCAGTGGTCAAGGAGAGAAAAAAAGAAAAAAATTGTATAGTACTATACAAATCTTTGTTTACATGCATCTTATTCTTCCTTCAACTACACTCTTGTGCAACCCTGTATGGTAATTATTTTTTTTTGTAGATTCGTATGGATCCCAAAAAGGTAACCAAAATAGTTTGGTTTGTGCCATTCTTCACAACATCTACATACAACTAAATGATCCAGATATAGCAGCAGAAGAGCCGGTTAACGAGGATGTAGAAAATGGAATCAACTACAATGGACAACGGGATGGAAGAGGGATTAGGGAACACATTGCTGGAATTTATTTATTTTAACCGTCATTAAAGTTAAAGCATCTATTGCACTTTTTTAATTTTTATCTAATTAAAAAAACTGCAGGACCAGGATTATCTACGATTTCATAGAATTGTTAAGCTTTGAATGGTCAAGAAATTATAGTTTGACAATTGCCAAAATCTCGCACCAACAATGAAAAAGAAATTAAATTCAAGAATTTCTACCTTGGGACCCTCTTACTCGACAGGCACTTGGGCTGTGGCTGATCAAGTTAAATAGTGCAGCGTTAAGATTTCATTTTACAGCAAGTTCTTATCCATACAACATCAAATTCTCCAAACAGCAGAAAACATTCAGACATATCATAAGACAACCACTGACGTGTTTCGTGACTTGTGACGCTTGAAGCACCTGGATATGTGTTGAGGTTCTTGTAACTCCTGTTTTAAGAAAGGAGTAGGTCCGGTAAGGGCCGATTTCGACCTCAAAATTCAAGTTCATCTAATGAAAGATTTTGGACACTTTTTAAACACTTAAGTGTCTACTTCAGTCGATTCAATCAGTTTATGTGAAAGATTTGAACTGATTTAGTCATTAAAGGCGCTCAAATTCAAGCTTAAATATGAAAAATCTATCAAATATGCCATAATATGTCACTTTTCAGATGGTTTTTGTCAAAAATGAAAGTGGCCGCATCCGTGTTCATTTTCAACCTTTATATATATTATGTATTATCATCAAATACAACTTACATTTAAATATTAAGAATGAACACAAATGCGGCCACTTCCATTTCAGACGGAAACCGTCTAAAAATTAACCAAAATGCTAAAATTTCGAAGATTTCAGTAATTTAGCATGACTTAATGATGCTAGTACCCGATACATGTGCATTGTATTGTCAAAAACAGCCCATATTTATGTAACAGAAGTATTCTTCTTTCCAATAAATAGCTAAAAATTTACATTTTAACAATTTTGTAAAACTGCTATATTTTGGGGCCAGAAAGGGGTCTTACTGGGCCTACTCCTTTATAATTCTACTATTTAGCTCACCTGGATCAGTGTGGCCTATTGCCATTACTAGTCACGTCCGTTTCCATTAAAATAGTAGATTCGGTATGCTTGCCAATGAGACAAAATCTTCTAGATTTCAAATGACATATATATGAGCAATTACAGGTCACTGTACAGCCTTCAACAATGAGAAAAATCAATACCTTATAGTCATATACAGAAACATTTTGGTGACCAATGAAATAAGACTCAACATTGGAATTATTATCTATTAACATCAGTCTAAAGTTATCATATTTGACATCATCAAAATGTTTTTTTTGTTTTTTTTTTATTCAACAACAACAAATTGCACTTTCTGCTGTTAACAACGTTCTTCATTAGTCCAGCATTCCAGTGAAGAGTCCCTGTTTGTTAATACCAGAAATCCAGGGCTGTTTTCTGGTAAGCATCATTATATTGAACCAACATTAGTTTTAATTACAGCTAAATTATAACATTATCAGCAATGAAATAAACAAGTATGTATCAATGAGACTTATTTATTTAACAATTTACTATATATATGTATCATCTAGCAATTTTTTTTTTTTTTTAGTATTATTTCCGGAAAATTTTCATATTTCTTCCGTAAACGTGTTAATTGTTTTTCTATCAAAATGTTAACACCTCTTCATTGTAAGGACTACAGAAATGACAAAAAACAACGCAAAATCCAAATTGCTAACAGTCTTCATTTATAAGTTAATCATCAATTTCAATCAAATAGAATTTAATATGTGATAATTGAACATAAATCAATATAATATATGTAGCATTTTAATAAATGGATTTTGTAATAAAAATGGTGTTTTGGAAAAGGCAAACATTAACGTAAAAAGATTCAAAACATTTAAATATAAAACAACTTGAAAACATTTCTCATGTTTTAACACTCACTGACCCAAAACTGACAGTAGTTCTAGGGCATCAGAATCTAAATTGTCATATTTGCAAAGCAATTTATTTAGAAGATCTAGTTCAAGTATG